GCAGGAGAGAACCCTTAACCCAAGGCCAGCCCCCGCTGCTGGCCTGTCACAAGTTCTCTATGAAGCCATTTCCCCACTGCTGCTGGTAGTGGGGATCCTCATGGAACCTACCTGGCTCACCTCACTGGGCCATTTTAAGGCTGGAGGTACAGACACAGCTTGGAGGAGACTTGGGTAACAGCAAAGTCCTCACAAGCACTTGTTACTGAGATTGTCTTCCCTGGCTCAGGATGGAAGGGTGGGTCTAGTCCAGCTGTTTGGGGTCCTTGGTCACCGGAAGTGTGTGTGTATATGCACACCTGTGTGTGTGGTCACCCTGCTGTTCACACTCTAGCCTGGCATGGCCGACGTCTATAGGGGCCAAGAGGCCCAAGCGTGTGGGATGGCACCCCAGACTGGCCCTGACCCAAATCCTGGATCGGCCCTTCCAACCTTAAGCCACTTCCATGTCCGTGGCCACCGTGGCCCTAGTGCCCTACAGTGACCTTGGGAAGGAGACCGGGCCGGGGCCGGGGACCCTCTTTTGCAGGTGAGAAAACGGGAGATCTGAGGAGCAAGTGGCCCGTCCTAGCTGGCGGGCAGACCACTGAAGAGGTTTAAGCGCTGGGGCTCTCGCGTCACCGGCCTACGTATGATGGTGCCTCTCAATCCCTCTGTGACCTGGGGCTTCAGCTCTCTGTGCCTCGATGCCCCATCTGAAGAGAGGGGGATATTGGACAGTATCTCCTCACAGGGTGGATGTGAGAATTACGTGAGCCAGAGTTTGGAAAATGCTCAGTGGAGTGCCAGAACACTTGGTGGTGCGGGAATATTATTAATACTAATTCAGAACTTTTGCCTCCTGGGCGCGCTCTCTTTCCACTCCCCACCCCCCTGCCGGGCCTTTCTAAGGATCGAAGACAGCAGCTGGCAGTGGGAGGTGGTTGCTTTAAATATGAGATGAGAAGAACAAAAGGAAAATAGAACAGGGTGGTGGCTTGTGGCTAAACCTTAACAATTCTCCTCCCCGAACTGGGGGAGGGTCTAAAGGACAGAATCAGATGCTGCCCGCTTTTGTCTTTAAGGAGCTAAAGGCCCTGCTTCACAGCTCAGTCGCTGGTGTGGGCTGGGACCCCACAGCCTAAGGGAACACCCTCCTGCTTGCCTGTTCTCCAGAGAGGCAGGAAGTAGGTTAAGCGGGATCCTGGAGCTTCTCTGCATCAGGTCTAAGATGACATTAAGTATCCACCAGATTTCTCCACAGGCCACACAGCCTGCCCCCTGGCAGCTCGCCCACTGCCTCTGTCACATGAGCCCCATTACCAAGTTCTCACACTGACTGCCCCAGTGCCCCATGCCCACCCGCCCCCGACCTCCCCTCGAGTCTGCGCGGGCCGTGTTGGGGCAAGGGGGAAACGTTTCATTCCGTCTGATCCGCTGGCCACTCACTGCTCTCCTAGGCAGAGGGACGGAGCCCTGGGGGTTGGGGCCTATGACTCGGCCTCTAAACAAGGCTGCCAACTGCCCCCACCCCGACTATGGCCAGCCGGGCAGAAGGGACCGAGGTGGTGGTGAGCCACCGAACACGGAGGGCAGTGGAGAGACGGCCAGCAGGGGCTGCGGGTCCCGCCTCTAAGGAAATGCCCAGGGCTGCTGTGGTCCGAGAAGAGGGCAAGGTGGAGACCCGAGGCCGGTGGGAGGCAACCAGAAGGCCCGTGAACAGAGCTTGTGCAGAGATGTGCACGGAGAGCAGAGGCCCAAGGCCGAGGCTCAGGTTCTGGCCAGTCCCTTCCCAGCTGGACCCTGGGCAAGGGCCCTCATCCTCCCAACCTCAGATTCCTGATTTGTAAATGGGGACAGTGACTTACCGCCTGGGAGGTCTGCTCAGGATACAGGACATCGTGGTCATAAGGGAGGGAGCCCAATGCTTGCCAAGTGGGACACGCTCAACAGACAGCGTCCTCTTCCTCCCTGGCCCCCGCAAAGCCCTCGCCTTCAGCTTGCTCCCTTCCCCCGTGCCCCCATCTTGCCCTTTGGTCCAACTCCAGGCCAAGGCCTCCACCTCCCCGAGCATCTCGGCAGCGTTCTCGGGCCACCGAGGATCTGCATGTGCTGCTCCCACAATTGACGGCCCCTTCCCCCTGCCTCCACCCCTGGAAAAAGCTGAGGCCTAGCTCAATGCCACCTCCTCTGTGAAGCTTTCCCCCAGTGCCCTGGGCAGTGAGTTGCTCCCTTTCCTGAACCCCGCCCGTCTCCTCCTGGCAGATGACTTAAACGCATCCTGCTTTTCTGTTCCTGGGTCTGTCTCCCTCAACAGACCCGTAGCCATTCACTGCTGATACGGCACCTTCTTCATTGTGTCCCTCTCCTTTTCGGCACCTGTCGGCGAAGGCTTGTCAAACCCCTGGCCCCGAGCAGGGAGGCCCCTGTGAGGAAGGTCGGGGTGACCGTGGCTGGCCCCGACCTCGGGGAGCAGAAGGAAGGAATCCCTGGGAAACAGCTGCCACGGTGCCCGGTCACTGACCCGGCCCAACAGTGACCACACCCTCTGTGGCAGCAGGACGGGGAGGGCGGGGGAGGGGGCCCTACCAGCCGGATCTTGCTGAATTTCCACCCCGTCCCGAGGGGCTGGGGGTCAGGTGGGAGCAGCAGCACACGCAAGGGTGCACATCCAGACAGCAAGGGTGCACAGCACCGGGGTGTCACCTGCCCCGGATGCGGGCCTGAGACTCCCGACCCCCTCAGGAGGCTGGTGCTTTTTATCCCCATTCTGCAGACAAAGCCACTGAGGCACAGAGAGCTCAGGAAGAGCAGGGCTGGGCCCGAGCCAGATCTGTGGGCCTCGGAGCCCACACGCCCAAGTGCCACCCCCACCACCTCGGCCGCAGGCTGCGCCAAGCCTCACTTGCTGGCACCCGCGGGTGTGGATTCATGGAGAGAACAGACGCAAAGCGGGCGGTTAGCAAACCACGGCTATTCCAGGCCTCGGCGCCCCCTCTCCCGTCACTCCTCCCTGTGCGCCCCCAATCTCTCCAGCCTCGGAGGGGGGACCTCAACTTCTAGTTCAGGTCTGCCTGTCGTCAGCCCGGGGCCCTGCGAGGCACCAACTCAGCCAGAACTTAGGTCCACGAGCGACCACTAGTCTCTCTGCCCAGCCGCCCTGGTCTGTGTGAGCAAACCTTGGCTGCCTGAAGCCACGATGTCCCGCATGTCTGTTGACAGATCTACTCACGACTGGACTCAGCCTCGGAAGGGCATGGCTGGGCCAGGGGCCGAGACTCCCGGGGCCCCAGTGTCCTGCGTGGGCCAGCCCAGGAGGCCCCGTGGGGTGGGGAACAGAGGCTGCAGGGAAGAGGGGCCTGCTCTCCCCGGGGCCAGTGTTTTAGGGTCTGAGACTGGAATTGAGGGGCCGGCCCCTGAGCCGAAGGGGCTTCGTGGTCCCACAATGTGCCCCCCCATCCTCAAATCACTTTTGCCTCCGTGTCTCTACTCCCATCACCCCTCGGTCTGGAGCAGCCCCTCCCCCAGTAAAGCCCCCTCTCCCTCAAGAGTCAGCTTTCAGGCCTCGTCGGCCAGAGGCCCACCTCACTCCCTGGGCTGGGACCGGAGGCGCCCCTTCTCCTCCTGGGGTGCCCTGTCCTATCTTTCACATCTGCTTGTAACGACTGGGTTCAAGTGTTCCTCCACAGGAGACTGTGGGCTCACTGAGGGCAGGGTCTGTGGCTTTTCCATCTCCGGGACCCTGCCCCTGGGCCCTGGCATCCACCAGCTGTTGAATCAACACCTTTGAACTGAAACCACGTTATGCGAGACCGAGGGCTTTATGGCAGCTCGGTCTGGCCATCGAGGGCGTCTCAGTCAGCGTCCGTGTGGCCCCAGCGACCGCACTCAGCCCCCACCTGGGACGGAACGGCGAACGGCGGGGCCTGGGCGAGCGGGGCTGTGTCTGGGCCCAGGTTCCCAGGAGCCTCGCTATTCAGCCAGAAGTCTCTCTGGGCTCCCGGGACCCACCACAGCCTGAGGATACCCAGCCCATCTTCCCCTAACCTCAAGAGACTGTAGCTCAAGGTCCATTTTTGGTCACTTTAATTGTAAAAACGAAGACATTTATATAAATAAGACCGCTGTGTAAAATAGGATTCACCCTTCTACTAAAACCCTTCTCCCCACGCTCAAAAAAGAATATAGAAAAGCCAGCAGAGATCAGAAGTACAAATCAGCATGCGGTCCCTGATGAGAAGTAACTGGCAGGCCAGGTTTCCCTGCCGAAACAGGCCTCGTGGTGAGCGCACTCCTGGCCCAGGAGCCTCGCCGGAGGCTCAGTGACACCCACGCCCTCTGCCACGGGAGCCCAAGTGCACAGGTGGAGGCGGTACAAAAGGTTCGCGGCCTGGCGGCTGGGGAGGGAGGACAGCACGTGGGGAAAGGCTGTCGGTCCTCGTGCCAAAGCCGGGGACGACGGAGCTAGCGGTCCAATGAGAGGCAGCGGTTTGTTCAGCCTGGGGTTGGGCTGGGGAAGGGGCTTCTGGAGGGTCACCTCTTCTCCAGAGGACGAGGGGAGAAAGCTGCCAGTGTCCCTTGAGAGGACAGGCTCCTCCTGGGGCCACGTGCATATGGCCGGTGAAGACAAGGACGGTGCAGGCCGGCTGCAGCGCGAGGGAGCGGGGGGGGGGGGGGGGGGGGGGGGGGGGGGGGGGGGGGCTCCCAGGAGCGAGGGGAGAGCGGCCCCCAAGAGAGGTGGGGCTGGCGTGTCCTTGTGCGAAAAATCCCACCTCCCCACCCTCCTACCCTGTCACACCTCCCACCCCTCCCCTGCGTCCAGACCGCGGCCTGCTCTCCCCTTCGCGCGCTGGGGGCCTGGGGAAAGGTGTCCACGCGTTCACCCGCTGGGCGCGGCTCGGGAAACTGTCATCAAAGGGCAAAAGGAAAGACCCCAGGCTCTCCTTTGCAAAGCGAGGGCCTGCCGGGGGCCGCTCCCCATCCCTGCAGGGGATGGGGGCAGGGGTTGGGGGGGGACGGTGTCAGGAGCACTTCCAGACACACACAGCCAGGGTCCCCCCGAAGTACAGGTACAGGAGGTTCTTCACCTCGTGTGTGATCTCAAACCCAAAGCCCTCGCCGATGACCACGTGCCAGGAGGAGCCGAACTTCTTGTCCATCGTCTCTTTGATCATCTTGGCAGCGCTCTGGAACAAAGGGGACGCTCATCAGGTGGGAAAGGCTGGGGGGGTGGAGCACGAGCCAACCCCCACCTCCCCCCGGGAAGCCGAAGTCTTGGCGGGAGAAGAGCCCATGCCCCACTCTTCTGCCTCCTGCCAGGGGCTGGGACTCAGGGACGGAAGAGCAGACCCTACCCCACCAGTCAAGAAGACACTGGCGAGGCTGGTCGAGCAGGCCCTGGTCTGAAGAGGGAGCCCCGGGTCGGCGTCCGGGCTCCGCTGTTCAGTGCCCGTGTCCGGGGTCGGTACCACGAGGCTGCGGTGGGGACCAAGCGCGGTAACGCGTGACGGCACTCCGCACGCCGCGTGCGGTCCTCGTCACTGTGAGGAGGTGTCAAGTTTGTCTCCAGGGAACAGAAAGGCTTTTCCCTAATGGGTCCGGGGAACTTCTGGAAGGGGAGTTGGACTGCTTCCCTCAGTTACGGCAACAGCCCCCACTCCTTCCTGTGCTGGCTCTTTCAAGAAGCTTCTTCTGAGAAGAGGCCTAGGGAGGGGCAGAGGACCCAGCCTCTGAGGGGGAGTCCGTGCCAGGCGCTTGGCCTGCGTCATCTCAGTACACACGTTCTCGCGGCCACCCGGTGGGGAGGCAGCATCTGACTCCCCGTTACAGACTAGGAGACTGGGGCTCAGAGATGAGAAATGGCTTATCTGGGGTTAAAGAGCTCGGAAGGGCTGGAGACAGCATTTGAACTTGGGCCTGGGTCTGCCTCCCCACTGGCTGGGCTGTCGTGATGCTGACTTCTTTCTCACTCATCACTGGGCTGATGAATAACATTCCTGCGTCACTGCCTGTTGGCCATATCCCCAGCACCCAGAACAGTGACTGGCACAAGGGATGGCATTTAACATCTTTTTTGGATGGATGGATGGATGGATGGGTACGTGAATGAATGCCTGGGCCTCTGTTCTCCCCTGGGACGGAGCCAAGGGGGAGAGGTGCCCTACCCAGCAGACCCCGGAGACAGGGAACACAGGCAGGGGCACCCGAAGAGCCCTCTAGGGCTGGGCATGACCACCATCAGATCAGTGCCCCAGAGACAGCACCAGCCTCTTCCCTTGCTGGCTTTCCTCGGGCTTCGAATGCTTCCAAGGAAGGCGCCAGCCAGGCCCCAGTAGGACTCTGGAGCTGGCTGTGGGGACCGGGGCCACCTGATTCACCCACGGGGGTCACCGAAGGAAGGCACAAGGGGCCACCTGTACCTCATTGTTGTTGGAGAATTTCTCACAGGCCGTGACACATAGCTCCATGGTCTCTACTCGCATCTCCTCTGGCATGTCCGAATGCTAGAGACAGGGCAGGGAGACAAACAGAGAGAGGCTTAGCCCACGAGCTGGCCTTCCGGGCTGGCTTCGCCGTCCCAAGCTTAAGGCATGGACATTGGGTAGCTGCCCTGGCACGGCCCTGGGCAAGCCCATCTCCTGACTCGGGGCGTGTGGCTGGGACAGAGGGCATGGAATCTGGCGAAGCCGAGTGGGCTTTAACGCCCGGGCCCCTCTGCAAGGGCACGAAGCTTCCGGCATCACGTTCCAGCCAACAGACACGGGGAGAAGGCTGGCCCGGGCAGGAGAGGATGCCGGTTGCGGAAACAGTTTACATCGGCCCCAGAGCACAGCTGGATCTCAGCCAGAAGGGCCTGGAGAGACAGCTCCGGGTTCTTCCTAACTCTGACCGCTCTCTCTCATCCACTTGGCCGGATCCCCCTCCTCCTCCTGATTGCGGGAGGGCCCTGGGCTTCGTCCCTACCCTGTCTCTTCGCCAGCAAGCTCCTCTTCAGGAGGTCCCACCCTGTTCCGTGGCGTCATGTATCTTCTATGTGAGGGTTCTTACATTTTCGCTCCCAGCTCTAACCTTTTTTTGTGGGGGGCTCCGGACTCCTATGGCCAACTCTCTACTTGACAAGCTGACTTAGACGTCTAAAGGATAACTCGACTTTCCCCACAAACCTACGCTTCCTCCTCCTTCCTTTTCTTGGTAACTGACACCATTTTCTCTCCTGAGTTCAGGGAAAAAAAAAAAAAAAAAAGTCCTGGGAGTTATCCTTGACTTTCCTGTCCTCACACCTGGCACCCAATGCGCCAGTGAGTTCTACGGCCTCAACCTCCAAGATGCATCCTGAGTCTGAACGTGTCCACTTCCACTCCGTGACCTGGGCCTAGCTGCCCCCTCGTCTCCCTGGGCCTCTGCAGTAGTGTCCTCACGGGTCTCCCCACTTCCACTCCGGTCCCCTAAAAATCCATTCTCCTTACAACAGCTGGAGCGATCCTTCGAAAACATCAAACGCGTCCCATCACTCCTCGGCTTAAAACATCCGCTGCTCCCTTCGGGCCCGGGAGAGCGTCCACACTCTTCACCATGACTGTCACAGTGCCTGGCCCACCTGTGAGGTCTGGCCTGCTGTCACTCTGGCCCTCACGTCCCCCCACCCACCTCGGCACTCGTCGGCCTTCCTTCTGTTCTTCCAAAATGCCGAGCTCACTCCCACCGCGGGCGTTCGGGGCTCGCCGTTTCCCCTGCTTGGCACGTGCTTCCCAGACCTTGGCAAGGCTGTCTCCCTAACTTCATTCAAGTCTCTGACCGGAGAACTCTGTCCAGAGACCAACCCCCTACTCTCTAGCCCCTGACACCTACTTTCTCTCTCTTGATAGCACTATTTACCAGAATTACGCTCCTTGAAACTTTTCTTCCTGTGGCCCAGGCCTTTGCCTGTCTTGCTCGCTACTGTACCCACAGTGCCTAGAAGAGAGCCCAACGTACAGTAGGTGACCTAAGTACTTGTCAAGTGAATGAAGGAACGAAGGAATGGAGCACTGTCGACTCTCAGACCTCCAGACCTGAGCCAGGGGAGCCCTTAACTTCCTCCTCCTGCTGTCCTGCAGGGAACGAGCTCTCTGCCTCGCTTCGAGGCGGTGTGGGCCCTGCTGGCCGCCCTGCCTCCCTGCCCCGGGGCTTACCCTGACCAGAGGGAAGGTCTGCAGTCGCTTATAATCAGCCTCATCTTTCTTCCCTTCTGTTTCTCCCATGATCCTTCCACCGTGACCCCCGGAGGGAGAGAGTGGGCTCTCGGGACGTGCTGGCGCTGGCAGCGAAGACCACACCCTGGGGATTCAGGAAGCAGGCCCTGCCAACTGGGTGGGAGCAGAAAATGTCTTTCCTCAAGGGGTGCTGTGGAAAACAGGAAAAGCCGGGAGAAAGAGTTGGCTTTCAAACCATACATCACAAATTAGAAATGTCTCACTGACAATTTGACACCTCCCCGTCTTAACTCCTCCGCATCCTTTTCCAAATGGCCAGCAAGTCTGCAGACGGGAGGATGAGTCAACGCGAGATGCTGGGACCCGGTGGTTAAGAACACGCTGGTATGCGGCTACAAGCCCACACTGTCATTATCAAGACAAATACTGAGTGCGGGCCAGGCCGAGGGTGGAGCCTGGAGCTTGCAATTAACACACGCAGCTTCTCTGTATGCACACGTATGTACACGGTCCTTACTCCCCAGCACATGTAGCTGGAAAGGGAAATGTCGGGTCAGGATCAACAATCCCGGGCTTGTGTGCAAGCCGGAGCCTCTTCCACGGGTCCCTGATCTGCGGAAGGAATGGGAACAGTGATGGTCCGTGTCCTCCTCGGCTTGCCGGGCTCCCAGCACTTCCTGCCCCCCCCCCCCCCCCCCCTCAGGCCTGCCTGGTCCAGAAGCTGTAAGGCCTGGGCCTCCTGGTTCTACTGTTCCCCAGCAGTGTGGCCTTGGGCCTCAGGGTCCTCACCAGGAACCTGGGAGCAGCCACATCTATCTCGTGGGGCTGTTACGAGACTCAGATGAGAAGGTACATGAAGCTAACCCAGTGCCCAGCACATGGCCACATACACGAGAGACTGTGTGTGGATATGAATGGAAAGTTATAAAGCCTAATACATATGTTTGGATTTTTTTTCTTTCCAAATCTAGCTATGTAAAAACAGATGGGACTTTTCCTAAAGAGAGGAGCTGGGTCCTAATGTCTGTGAGCACTGCTGGAAATCCTGGTTGTTTCTCCTTATTCTCCAATTCAATCTAGCCTGTAATTCAAGGGACTTTTTCTCTCGGAAGAAGGACTAACACAAGTGCCTACAACCCACCGTGCTGCGAACCCTGCTTAACCATCCACATTGGACACCTACAAGCAAATAATGTTATGCCAGCGTTTCTGACGTTTCCAAACTGGTTTGTTTTCATGGCACGGCCGCCAAAGCCCGAAAACGCCTAGCGCAGCAACTAACGGGCAGTCGTGACAGGTGACGTTTGTCAGGTTTCCTGTCCCTAGTGCCCCACTGCTACAACGCCCCTGCGAGTTAGGGCCTGCACCAAAGAAGGCGTAAAGCTGCTACTCCACCGGCCTGAGGTCTCAGCCGGTGAGCGGCAGACCTGGGGTTTGACTCTGGGCGCGGTCTCTGGCGTGGGCCCCTCTCTCTCCTTCTCGTGGCACCGACACAAGGTAGGCACCCAGTGTGCCACCCCCAGCGCGGGCCCTGTGATCCCAGCTGCGAAATGCACGTTTGACGTCTGACCGGTCGGTGATGACCGTTCTCATGTGGACTCGACCCACGTGTGGCCGAGCATCGAGCCTTCCGCGTGCTTCTTCCGGGCTGTGCTCTCAACCGTCTCCGTCTCTCTGGTGCTTCAGAAGCCCTCAGCGCCACCCCATTTGGTGGGCTCCCTCGAACGAGGCTGGAAGCCTGCCGCCGACTCCACCATCCCGCGACACTGGTATTTTCTGGTTTCCCGGTGGACAGACGGTTCCTCTGAGCTCGTCAATTCTGGGCACCTGTACCACTCAGATATTAGCAGTTCTGGTTTGTCTCTACAGAGAAGTTGGCGAATGACCAGGCACGATCTCACTGGACTTTCTGCTAATGTTTCTTATTTCACAGAATCCAGGGAATCGTCTTGTCTCTGCTCGTTAATGTTAAGGCCCATCTCCAATCCCATCCTGTCCTGGCTTTCATAAAGGCCACTTGCTTGCTGCCTCCTCCCCGTTATCAAGGTGCAACAGAGGTGACGATCAAAGGATACGGGCTTTAAGGTGTGTTTACCTCCCAAGATTCTCAGCTTAAAATGCTGAAGCAGTCGCTGAGGCATTTCCCACCTAAATACTGAATTAAATATTTCAATCCGATCCAGTGCATCCTCGGGGCTCAAGAGTGCTGGCCTGGCGTGGCCTGGAAGGGAATTCAGTCAAGGGTGTGCCTGCCTGCCCTTGGGGAAGGCGGGGGCTGGGGCTGCTGGGATTCTGTTTCAGCATATGGAACCCTGATGAACCAGACTCAGAGGTCAGAGATATTACCAAAGTCCATTCTTCAGGAACAAAGGGGAAAAAGCCACCGGGACAGGTTTTTTTTTTTTTTTTTGGAGGGGGAAGGGCGTGGGGAACCGCGAGGTGGGGTATTTAGGCTTGAAGGCCAGTTCTATAACCAAAATGAATTTTGTTCCCTCCGTGCTTTGCAGCCCTGGGCAAGCGATTTAACCTGAGCCTTGGTTTCCGCCTCTGTGCAATGGGATGAACCCGTCTTCTTATTCTCAGAAAGCCACTGCAAGCACCAACGGTATGAGTGTGAGGGTGTGGAAACCGCAAAGCTCTGTGCACTATTCTCATCGCGCTGCTCGCGCTGCCACCCTGCCGTCGGTCAGCACGTCTCCAACATTATTCAACCGCGCTTATTAAGGACCACGATTGCGAATGCCTTTTCCTAACCACTGCCAGTACTTCTGGGGATCCAAAAGGGATGAGACTTGCAGGATAAAAAGGAACAGTTATAGATGACGTGCTTCCAAATACAGAAAGGTAGGAGAATCTTTTATGATGCTGTATCATTATAGTACAGCTACAGTCATTTGGCCACGATTTAAAGCCCGCCTGGAAGAATGCTGCCAAAAATAGCAGACCCAGAGGTTTTAATAACCTTATCAATCTCCCGTGCGGATGAGTGTGTGTCTGACAGCTCCAGGCCAGAAAGAAGTCCCATCAGGCCTAAAAGAGGGCCCTTTAATAATGTAAGTGTGACCACAGCCAGGGTACTTGAATCTGCTGGGCACCAAAGCTCAACCTGTCCTAGGGACGTCCTGGGGCACAAAGCCAGTGGCGGCCTCGCCCTGTCTCCCGTCCCTTGTTCTCCTCGCCCAAGGACGCCTCCGAACGCTTGGCACAGCCTCGCCCCTGTCTACTGCAAAGCTACGCCCAGGGAACGGGAGGAAAAGACAGGGCTCTTTCTGTCATCACCTTGAAAGACCCAGGGCCCCTTGTCCTGCTGTCTGTGCCTCATTCTTTCGGACACTGACCTCAGTCACCGTGTATTGTTTTGCTCCTGAAGCACTTGGGAAGAATCCTTAGGAGGGTTAAGCGGATGTGAGAGGGGTGGGGGGAAAATGAAGGACTCTGGGAATTAAGGCCGAAAGTGTCTGCCAGTGCCCCAGAGTGGGGGTGGGGGCAGCCACTCAATGCCTGGAACACTCCTGGCTTGTGCATCCCGGAGCACCCCCGGTCACCACCACCAGGATCCGAGAGGTGGGAGGGCACACTCAGAGCAGGGCACGGGGGTTGGTGGGTGCAGGCTCCGCGGGCAGGTCTGAATTCACATCTCGTGCTTCAGACAAGTGTTTCTCTCTCGGAGCCTTCGTTTATCTCGTCTGGAAATTGGGACGAAGAACAGACTACCTCACAATAAGCGTCAGCTCTTGTTACCGGTGCAGTGAGAGGGGGACCTGCGATGTCCTTCTTCATATACCAGCCCACCAAACACCTAAACGTTCAGCCAGACAAACCAATAGTTACTGAGTCCCCACTCCGCAAGCCACGCTGTAAGCGCTGACGGACAAAAGTCACAAGGAAAGTCTGTGGAACACAGCTGGGGCCAGTGGTAGTTGGGGGGGGGGGGGTACACTGGGTTTTCATTCATTGTCTCCTTTCATCCAATAACAACCTGTGACGGCAGCATCCACTCCCAGTCCTCAGATAAGGCACCCGGGGCTCAGAGAGGTTTGGGGGCTGGCCCAAGGGTACTGAGCCAGCAGGGACAGAGCCAGGATCCAAACCCATATCTGCCCTTCTAATTCTACCTTCTATGCCTCTTCCCCGGCCACAAGCAGGTAGGAGAAAGACAGAAACACAAGTAGCTTCAATTCTCGGCATCTGCCACCTGCCCAGGCACATCTCCTACTTCCAGACACGTCGGGGGGGACACACTGGGTGCCCTGGTCATACCCCCCGCCCTTCCCTGCCACGTCGACCCTCTGCCTTCTGGCAAACACAGAGCAAAGCTGGCAAGGTGAGGAGAAAGGAGGCTAAGGGAGTGAGGGCATTCATCCAAGATGCTGGGGGTGAGGTCAGGAGACAACACGGGAGACCCGGATTTCACAGATCAGTTTCAAAGGGGGGAAGCAAACACAGGATTGCATTTTCAAGTTACGCTGAGAACATTAAACACATCATCTACTATAAATGAAGGTTTTAATAGTTAGAAGGAGATGGTTGCAGGATAAAGGACAGTCCTCAGAAAAGACAGTTACTTTCCTCTCTCTCTCTCTCTCTCTCTCTCTCTCTCTCACACACACACACACACACACACACACACACACACACACACAGGAAGTTGCTGCTGTTAGTGTTGTTTTTAACATTGTCCTCGTTTTTTCTCGTTTTACTGAGGTCTAGTGAAGACTTCTGATGTGCCTTAGACCATGGGGGGGGAGGGAGGGAGGGAGGAAAAGGTGGGGGAGATAGAGACATTTTCTTTATGTGTAACACGACATACTAAACAATATTGACTCACGTGGTCCCCCCCACCCCCGCCACCACCACCAACATACCCGAATTTGGATGAAATCCCAAACCTTTTGTTCAAGATACAAAGTACAACAAAAAGTCACGGCCGTCACAGCTATTAGCTCCAAGCGAGCACAGATGCTCACCACACACAGCCGACTACGCAGTTTGCCGCCCCTCTCCTTCCCGCTCAAGAGAACAGATTTGAGTGTGAGGGACGAAGAAGG